ACTGGAAATGGGGCAGGGGTGGGTGGGGAGGGGCAGCCAGCCTTGTGTGGGACGGAGAAGGACATGGGGACGGCCAGACAGGCTCCCCACGCAACCACCCGCTGATCAGTTCTGGCTCAGCCCGAGTTGGGGAGACCCCAGGAGGAGAAGGGACGTGTGTGGTGGCCAGACTCTGGGCCACTTCAGCTTCTCGATCACCCAGAGCCCGTGCAGAAGGGGAGCCCTGAGCCGCGCCCACAGCCTGCAGCCCGGGTGCTAGACTGTCTCATCCAGTCCTGCCTCCCCCACTAACTAGCTGTGTGGCCTTAGGCAAGTCACATTAATATTCCGGTCCCTGTTGCTGTGGGACCAACCGCCCCAAGGTCAACAGCGTTCATCGTATTGTTGTCTGTCATGGCCCTGGGGCTTATCGGGGCAGTTCGCACTGGGGTCTCTCAGATGGCTGCAGGGTGACATCTCAAGGTCACCCCGCCATGTCTGGCCATCAGCTGTCAGGTAGGGCACCTACATGTGGCCTCTGCATGCGGCCTGGGCTTCTGGGTTTCGAGAGGGGAGCTGCCCCAGAGAGACGGCCAGGCGGAGGCTGTGTCCCCTTCTGTGACTTGGCCTGGGGAGCAGGGCTGCACTGGAGCCAGCAGATTGTGCCGTCTCTTCCCAGCTCCACAGGCAATGACGTCATGTTGGTAGCTCGAGAGTGGCCTTGGAGAAGGTTACGTACAGAACAGAAGTGCGCCCGCTACAAATCGGGGCTTTGTCTTGGGAGAGTCCATTGTTGAACATTTACAAGCACACCACCGCTTGGAAATCGCATCGTGTCTTTTCCAGCTGCGGCCACAGACCACCCCCCTCCTCCAGGGTTCAAGGGGAGGAAACACAGAGCCCGCCTCTCACTGAGAAAAGCATCTGTGTCCCATCGTGAAGGGATGGGAAGGGCTTGCAGGGGCCATCCTGGGAAACACAATCCGAGCCTGTGTCCTCATCGGGAGAATGGGATAATGATGGCACCTCCCAGGATTGGTCAAAGGAATAAGTGAATTGATATTGGTAAAGCTTAGGGGCGCCCGGATGGCTCAGTTGGTTAAGCGTCTGACTCTTGATTTTGGCTCAGGTCATGATCTCACCGCTCATGAGACTGAGCCCCGCATCGGGCTCTGTGCTGACAGCCCAGAGCCTGCTTGGGATTCTCTCTCTC